AAATAAAAAGCTAAACGCAACACAGCTGTGAATAAAGAAGTAAATTGAGATAAACAATGAGAGAAAATATAATAAAATAAAACAAAAAGCTGACTCGGCACCAAAAATTTGAAAGTTTAAACTTTTTAATACTGCACAAAACTTAGGAACATTTAATACTTATCTTGCTGTGGGCTCAAAATATTGAAAAGAATGGGGTGATCCCGCACTATAATAGGTTTTATGTAGGCTACAATAACCAAATTCGCTTAGGGAAATTCCATTAACTTCTAACGACAATGTGAAACTGGCAGAAATCGGAATACATACAAGTATATTGCTTACAATATAATACGTATACACACATAAGTGTATATTTAGTATCACATCTAAAGGCTCGACTTCCGCGAAACATTATAATCACGTACATATGTATAGTAAAAAACTTTCTGCGGTTTCATTTAATGTATATATGTACATATACTTTCTTATCGCTAGATTACTAAACCAATAACTAAAATTTCAAATTAGCAAGAAAGATCAGAATTCCGAATTGAAACCGCAACGCGCACTTAAGTTAAATACATATTTGTATTTACTTATGCTAGTACAATATTTATATTCTCCCAACATGTTGCTGCTTTAAACTAAATTTACTCAAATTATGGAAAATATTTCTTGTGTTTTGTTGTATACGCTTATAATTGATTTTAAATAGAATGCATTACAACTGAATTGAGGAGTATGAAAAGAAATCGTTTTTTGACAATGAATAAATTTTATTTATTAATAAAAAAATAATAAATAATAAGAACTTTAAAAATTATATTATTATATTAATTTGTCTCAGTTTTATTGCTAAATTTTAGTTCGCCTCAGCGAAAATTATACTAAAAAAAAAGCATATTGAAGTGAGTGAATATTAACTCGATCAATGTGGCTAAATTTTATTTCATACTTAAGCTTATGTGTAAAACATCAACCAGAAAATCGGAATTCAGTAATGAAGGTGTGAGGCTTAGACCAAGGTATATACTAATTTCATTCTAATTCAGCGTCAAACCACATAATTTTTAAGAAAACTTATCCTTTGGTTGGTTTCATTTTAACCTAATGCTAAAGGTGGATGAATCTTGCAGGGGGTATTGTTCGCTTCTTCCTCCTACTTCCCGAGACGCTTACTAGAAGTCATTCGGGGTGTCTCATTCAACCCTACTCCTTTCACAACACAGGCTTGGGGCCTTCTAATTGGCGGAAAGCATATAATAATAGATAAGAAAGAAATTATGGAAACACCTGCAAATTATAACACAAAAACTTTTAAATATTCTAAACGCATTTTAAATTTATTAAATTTCATAAGCCCTAGTCCAAAATTCACACACCTTATATATGTTTTAAGATCTGGAACTACATTCCACACAAGGTGTAATGCCACATATGTGTCCTCCTTGTCGTGTTCTTATACTTGTATTATACTGTTGCATCAATACACGTAATAAAAGCAAACGCATCCGTCACTAAAATACAATATTATTTATTACGCCTTTGAAAGTATTGTCGCGTAATTTAAGCTTTCAGTTGGGTTTCTTCAATATAAAAAAGCTTTAATAAATATACACACATATGTAAGATTACAGCTGTGTATGTGTTTGAAGTTGATCCGCTGAAAAGCCATGTAAGTGTCAATGGCTGCAGAATATTATGTTGCATGTTGCAAGCATTTTTTTCAATTCTCTGCTGAGTGCTTTTGTTAGCAAATAAAAGTTTTTTATATATTTTGTTGGAAAATGCAATGTGTCTATTATGCCCCCAAGAATTGGCTTACACAATTGCTTTGTTATATTCATTTCCTATGAAGACAGAATATACCATAAATATACATGCATCTATATGCATTTCTTCCCCAGAATATATATTTGTAGACGAATAATGGTCCCAATAATTCCATGCTCTGAGTATACATTTCTACAATTGAAAATAATTAAATAACTAACAAATCAGTTATTTATGGTAAATGATGTCATTTCGGATGGTAAGAAATTTTATAAATATACTTGTATGTATGTATTTCAGTGTAAATAACATTCCGTGAAAAACAATATACGACATTTGAACTTTTTTTACAATTCGGAAGAATTTCTCGATATGGATTACTATCCCTTCCATTCGTTTAATAATATGAATTCAAGCCGCAAAGTAGGAAAAGAACAACACCTTCTTATTTAAATGTAAATAGCCTGAGGGTTCAATTTGTAGATTATAAAAAAAACAATTTTTTTGGGAAAAAAAAATTTGTTTTCTTAACATCTAGGGTGGCTCACTTTTAAAGTAAAATTTCGAGTTAAAACTTTTATTTCGTAAACAATTTTCAATAGGTGTTCTATGTAGAAGCTGTGGACAGTCCTCTTTCAATTGGACTGGACTGGTCAATTAGTAGTTATCAACTTAAAAAAAAATTTTGTGGTCATTATTGGAGTTTAAAAAAAATCTTAAACGACCACATGTTTTCTTTAAGCGTTAAAATAAATTTGAGTCATAAACAGCCAAATTCGGTAATTGATTATAATGTGAAGAGTATAACCAAAAAATCGAAATTTACTTTAAAATGCGGCCCTCTAGATGTTAAAAAAATAATTTTTTTATAAACTACAAATTTTACCCCAAAAAAAAATTTTTTTTCCTAATATGTATATTAAAGTGGGTAAAAAAATGAACGTTTTTAATCGCTTGGTACTCTAAAAATTGGTTAATAGACACTTCTCAGAAAGTCTCTCTAAGTGTGAGCTTTTTATTGTAACGGGAAGGTCCTCCACCCTACAGTTTTCTTTTCAAAGGAAAAAAAAAATTAAGCAGGGAGGGGCTAAGTTCGGGTGTAACCGAACATTTTATACTCTTGCAACGTGCACGGATACTTCAGGACACTATTTGCGCAAATTTTTATCCGAATATATTCGTTGGTGCTTGATTTTTGTACTGGAAATTCAAAGAATCATGAGGAATCATCATGTCGTCAGGACTACAAGTATGCCGTATAACGCATTTGATCGAAATTGGTGAAGTAGGTCCGGAGATATGAGAGTTTACTCAAATGTCGGTGGTGCCACGCCCATCGCCCACTTTCTAACCAGGCTCCTATAAAGCCTCTTGTATCATCCTGGGAGTAAAATTTAGTGACTCTGACGCCTTTAATTATTGATTTATCGCGCGAGGTTATACAAGGTGCGTTCCAAAGTAAACAGGACTTTTAAAAAAATACAAAACAAATGGTTTTATCGGCAAAATCAATTAATTTTATTAAAAATAGTCTTCTTCTGCTTTAATACAGCTTTTTGCACGGTAATGGTGCATGCCAAAAGCATGTCGAACGAGTGTTTTAGCTCGTTGCCCGGTATGGCCGCCAGTAAGCCGGTGCAAGCCTTCTGAATGGCCTCCACGTCTGTATAACGCTTTTTTTAATCCGAAAAGGTAAAAGTCACACGGTGCCATATCAGGTGAATACGGGGAGTGGTTGATTGTCAAAATGTGATTTTTGGTCAAATAATCGGCCACAAGAGTCAATCGATGAGACGACGCATTATCGTGCAACAAACGCCAACTTCCATCTTCGCGATATTCGGGCCGAACACGTCGAATACGTTGGTACCCGCTTCAAAACTCCAAGGTAGAATACCGCATTAACGTTTTGGCCGGGTGGAACCAATTCTTTGTGGGCAATACTCTTGGAATCATAAAAACAAATCAGCATTGTCTTCACTTTTGACTTCTCCAAGCGCGATTTTTTGGGTTTCGGCTCGTCGTCATTTATATCCTCACTCGTGCACTCTGCTACGGGATAGGCAATCATCGCCATAAACTTGTTTCATCAATTAAAACGTTTCGGTAAAAGTTTTACCAATTTTTAAACAAAATTTAATGTTGGCTCTTTGTTAGAAGCTCATTTTCGCACCGATGACAATAACATACTGACACTTAAAACGCAATAACTTCACCTCCAATATATGAAATGTCGTGAAATTTTTACTGGAAGTCGATAAAGATTCTAACGCACAAGTCGACATATAGATGGCGCCACTAGAGTTTACTTTGTTACTTGTTTACTGTTTACTTTGGAACGCAACTTGTAGTATGTTTTACTTCCATATGAGCTTATATAATGTTTTTCTAACTTTTCTATGTAAAAACAAATACTTTTTGATCAAATTTGGAACTATTCCTATCCAGTTTTTTTTTTAATGAAAATTGTATATTTGTCTCTTTACTTCCTAGTGTTTTTTTGACAAATATTTTAAACTACCATGTCCCTCGCGTTTGCGGCTAGCGCAGTGAGCTTTCTTCCACGTGTGCAACGCATGCTTAGTAACGATAGAGTACGAACAACTGCTCGTTCGAAACGCGGATATTGAAGATTCAAAATTTTTTCTGAACTGAGTTTTTACCGGAGCATTCTCAAAATGTATCGTGACTAAAGAGCCTAATGTACATTAAACAAAAGGAATAAAAAAAATAGTACCGAATTTGAAAAAAAATATTATTTATATATAAAAACGTTCATTTTGTCTATAAAAAAACCGAAAAAATTCAATATTTATCTCATTGGAAATGTCAGAAAATCCATAATTTTTCATATTGAGTCGAAATAAAAAAAAAAATACATCTCCAATATTTTGCCTCAAGAAACACATCACAAGTGTTTTGTACGAAACCTATGTTTGAATATAAATTTTCGATTATTTGTATGTGTTTATGTTTTACTTAAACACCAAGCGATTCTATATATACTTGTATATAAAGTATTTTTGTTAAAAAAATTATTAAGAAAGAGCAAACATAGTCAGTGTTTGAATTTGAAATAATTGTATGTATATGTATGTATATACTTACATACACATGCTTCGAACTTTTTCTGTGTAATTTTTTTATCTTTGGTGAACGGATATAATAATCAGTTTATTTCTGTGTGGGTACACGTAATATATTTTCGCTTATATTAATTTCTACTTAGACTACGAAATAGCAAATGAAATTTGGTGCCGTTGACCTAAACAACCAAATGATTGTAGTTTAATTAGTTTATTAGGCGTACTCGGAATTAAAAGACATATCCAAAAACATTCGGCTACTAAAACTCCACTAAACGCTTCAGTAAAAATGCTTTCGCGTAAATATTTTCTAATTGGTATATTAATAGCTCTGCTAAAGTATACACCAGCGCAGGCAGACACAAATTCAGGAAATTTTGACAAAATAAATTCGGCTCATAATTCGAATAGTTCAAAATTTACCGATATTACTACTACAAAAGCTACAGAAAACATAGCAAAAAATGCAACAACAAACAAATATAATGGTAATATTACAACAATATCTTCAACCATTGTAAGTCCAAAGGAGGAATTCAAAAATTTTAGTGTCAATGTAAGGCAAGAACAAACTGCTTCGAGAGCAAATCTATCGAGCAACGAAGAAATTATAAAAAGGACTACTACTTTAGCGAACATTACTGCTATAGATGTGCCCACCACTAATATGGTTGGCGCAGATAGTTCCAATAATGCAAGCTCTGAAGCTCCATTAAACGACAATTTGAATGATATTTCAAGAGCAAGCATGGAAATATCATATCCAACAATTAGGACAGTAATGTTAATTGCTGCAGGTAAATACGTAAAAATATGCTCTTATAAAAGAAATTAACTCAAACCAAAAATAAATGCTAAAACATCTTGTTTTCTAATTTCAGCATTACATTATTTATGGCATATCAGAAGCGATGGTTATTATTAAATTTTACACTTTGTTTAAGCTTATTTAATTGAAATAAAGAAATGCCAAAATCAAATGAACAAATTGATTCAAATGATCAAAAGATTAAGGATATGAAAAGAAAGTCTAGAAACGTCTAGTTTATAAATAATGAAATCTTTCAAATCAAAATCTCGACAGCCGCTATGATACTCCTTAAGCACACGCAGAACATTCTTATAATATGTTTGTAAAGTCTTCGTCTGTTTAATGTATTCCCAATTGCCTTTGATATATTTGACGATCTAAATTATTAGTATTGAACCAGCAATCGGTACTACCGTACGCAGAAGACGTAAGTTCAGTACATGAAAAGTCAACGAGCCTTACCTTATAAAGTATATACATATATAACATACTTACATATACACGCTGATTAATAGCAAAATCAACTAAACTAAGTAACGCTGTGTCACAACCAAATATTATATCTTCTTTACTTTATTTTTATGAATTAAAGACATGTGAAATTCTTCGATGTGTCTTTAAAATTTTATAAGCCCAATACGCCAACCAATCTAACCTCTATTTGGAATCAAATTAGAGAAAGAAGATATTCCTTAATATTATGTTTATATATAATATTTGAGCGAAAATTTATCACATAATATTATTAAGTGTAATTGTAAGTTTTCTTGCAACACTACCAAATGTTTTATGTTATTTACTGCGCTCATAGATGTAAACTTCATAAGTATCTACCTATGAAAGTATTCAATGGGGTATCAACTGGTAAAGGAAGAAATCCCTTCTCCGCTATGTTGAAAATATCAATGGAAGAAATTGGTTTGATATTTTGCACTCCGCGGGGTATTTTAGAAATAAAAAATTTTAACGGAAGCTAAAGTTGATTTGAAACCTCGTTTGTTGAATAAATACTTGCCTTAAATACAACATGTATAATAGCAAAATAAATGAGATCAAATAACTATTTATTAGTAGTAAGCATCAATAAAAGAGAACTTTAGTCTGTAAATGGTTACTAATCAATCATAATTTTTGTTATTATCAGCAGTTACAAATTGGTCTTAAGTAACATCTTTAGGAAGTTTCTATTGAGGTATACTACCATATATTTATAGCCAGCTCAGGTCTAAAAGTTATCAAAATCAGACATTAACTATTCAAGCACTCAGATACCGGAAATGTGGACCCTATGGCTGCTTTTTTGGTCGAAAATATTGTTCAATTTGTGAGATACAGAATTGAAATATGTGTTTGTATTGAAAATGAGTTGAATTGGATCAATACTTTCCTTAGCCCCCATATACCTAATATAAAGATTTTCCCTTCCAGTTGACATACATCGGCCAATGTGGGAGTTATTTTATATCTTAGTTATTACAACATATATCTTTGTATCTAAAATGGATAAAATCGGGCGAGAACTTGCCTTCGCCACCACATAACTGATATTTATGATTTTAAACGTGCGCCTGACTTTACTACATATACTTGTCTGTGTTCATATTTATATATTATATTTATAAAATTGCTTGAAAATAAGTTCTCAAGTATACCTGAGCAACGAAAAAAATTAATGCAATCGGCCCTTCTATTTCTATGCATATATACAAATATTAAAAGACGTGAATTTTTAAATGTCAAAAACAGTTTTAAAAATCTCCAAAGACAATGAGGAGAGCCTAGACTAGTTAAACGTAATCTAATAACTTAAAAGTTTTGGTCGGAACATTGTATAAGGTAAGTAGCACGTGCACGTGTACCGCTTTGTACAGAACTTTAATGCATGTCTGTTTCCACGTATATATACATACGACAAGAATACACTGTTCTGCTCGGATAACTAGTGTTGTCAGCTTTAAATTGGCTGCATCCGTTTTTTAATTTGGTCTTTAACCCAGCGGAAGTCTCACTGATTGATATCTTAGTCTTTTTCCGGCAATCAGTGTGAGTATACCGTTGGCGAATTTATTTAATAATGAAGTATTGCATAATTTAAGTGTCAAATCCTTTAAAAACTTTTTAGCCAAATACAATTTTCACTTAGTTTTTTATACCCTTGCAATGAGTTGCTACAGAGCATAATAGTTTTGTTCACCGAATGGTTGTTTGTATCACCTAAAACTAATTGAGTTAGATATAGGGATACATAAATGATCAGGATGGAGAGATGAGTTGAAATCTGGGTGACTGTCTGTCCGTCCGCCTGTGCAAGCTGTAACTTAAACAAAAATTGAGACATCATGATGAAACTTGGTACAAATGTTTCTTGGTACCATAAGAAGGTTGGTACCACTGCCACGTCCACAAAATACCATTAATCAAAAACCAAATGCCCAAACTAAGCTCCAAAATAAGATATAAGGCTGTTATTTGATATATGCAATTGCATTAGGGAGAGTTATCTGCAGCTTCAAAAACTGTTTAAATCGGCGTGGCTTCGCCATCTAATAAATTTAAGGCACTTATTTCTTTCCTATGGATGCAATCGGATAATAACCGCGCCTACTCAAAATATAATGGTTTTGTTTAAAATACTAAAAGTGCGATAAATCTATGATTAAATGCGTAAGAGGCATAAAATGTTGCACCCCAGATGAAAGAAGAAGGCCAGTGCCGCTGTCAAAATTGGATGCCGGGCTTGGCACCGCCCACATTTAGGTGAAAATCCATATCTCGAAATCTACTTGATCGATTTCGACAAAGTTCGGTAGGTAACATTATATTAACAGTTTTATTTTATAGTATGAAAATTGGCTAAATCGGATTACGCCACTCCTACTTCCGATATAACACCATTTCAAATTGCAATTTACTCTTTCACTTTCCAGTATATAAATTAAGAAGCAATCAATATAACGGGACGAAACTTTGCACTAGTAGATCTTTTATTTTTTGTGCCATCTTGTGACCAAAAATTGTTCAAATCGAACCAAAACTATTCAAGCTCCTAGGTAACGAATATGTGGACCCCAGATTCTATTGCGAACTTTTTATCGAATACATCAGTCAATGTCTTTCTTCATAATACAATAGTATTTTGTATGTCGTAAATTAATTAAATCGAATAAATAATTCCCTTAGTGTCTTATACCTAATAGACAAGTCATCGAGTTTCCGGCTGACTTTCTACCGCATATATCAGTCTAGGAGTATTTATGAAATTGAAAAAGCGTATGAGAACTTATCCTGGCCCCCATATAACTAATATCAAAATCTAGTTGACTTCACTCTTTTAACATAAAATGTTCGGTTACACCCGAACTTAGCCCTTTCTCACTTGTTTATTCTTATTCTTAGTTTGGTATAAAAGCAATAAAAAGAAGATTTCTAACTATAACCCGTGCGCAAAAGTGCCGTCAACCGCCGTAATGGGTTACGAATCTTCACTTAAATGTGGGCAATACAAACATATTTCGGTTCTAAATTAAATGTAATGATTCTAGCAAACTCACCTAATTTTGATATAATATCTAAAATATTTCTTGATATATGGATGCTATTATTGGTGAAGACGATATTATATAAATAACGGAATGACATAATAAGCATAATAAAAATTGTTGAGATTGCGGTTGGTGCAATCTTCTTTCTCAACTAAGTGCAATGCTGCTGATATTATATTTTTTGTCTTTACTTTACTTTTAATAGTTTTCAATATAATATATTAGTAATTAGGTATATGCTATAAAAAAATAGTCAAACTAACTGACTGCCGATTCTCTGGTTGATTTTTCTTAATATGCTGAATATATATAAAATTGTTTTTGTAGCTCATATAGGTATGTCATTTGAGTTAATTAGGTGAATTTTATTTGACCTCTCTCACAATTTGCAGTTATGAGCTTTGTAGAAATTCGTATAAGTATCATATTTGCAATCCACACTTATATGATAAAAAATTTGCGGTATACGTATGGAGAATTAGTCAAAAAATTTTGCAAGTTTAGACCCCTATTTCAACTAAAAGTAGCCTGGTTGTATATTATTAACAACTACCAAGTTGCATGCAAAGTATTATCGAACAAAAATAACGCGTTATGTTGACTGAAAACTGGCCAATAAGACGATCAACTTCCATTGCAGTTAATAAAAAAGTTTTGCTTTTATTTCTATAACAGTCGTCCAAAGCACATTGTCAACTGTTTTATGACCTAACTTATGCTAAAGGCGCATACATACTTGTATTTGTTCAACTGCATTACATAAATAATAATTATGTATATGAACTTTTGTAATTCAGCACTGCAGTTAACTTATGATTTACGACTCAAAGTCCTTGCACATTGTCATAGAAATGTATACGTTACCAGTGATGCTTATGGTATATACCTATTTACCGTTTAATAATATAAATTCAATTTATTATAAAAGTTGTAATCGAATGGTATTTTTCTAAACAGATATACATTTTTTGAATGTTTCTATTAATAACGATATATTTAATTAAAACCCTCAGTTTATTTGTATCATATTGTATCCTAATACAAGTACTACCGTTTAAATAAGGTAGCGATTAATGAAGATATAATAGCAAGTTGCAACTTTAATTTCGAAAAAGCACTAGATTTATAGTAATTTAGATATTTTTTTGGATATTGGTGTGGAAAGAGATCAAATGAGTATTTTCAGTAAAAACATATATTTACAACCTGAACAAAATCCAAAATGGAACTATTACTTAGCATATAAATGAAACGAAACATTTATGTAGGTGTTTTTAAACGGTATAAATTTAGTATATTTATGGCTAAAATATTTATATCTCGAAATATCAGTTGGTTTTGTGGAAGAAAGTTTTAAACTAGTTCTGAAGTAGTTTTTAAATAAGTGATTTGACTACATCACCAAATTTATTAGTATGTCTTACAACAACCCGTTTGAGGAAAGTAAATATCTAAATGTTAACCAACTAAATATTTTTAATTATGTGTTTGTAAATGGTAAATTACAAAAAATAGAACGTAAAGAAAAATTTTTGGAAAATACTGCAGCCGGAAATTTAAAATATTTTATGTAATAATGAAATAAACAAAACCAATACCTATGATTTAACATTGTGGCTAAGTATAA